CAACCACTCTTCTGTTTACTGTGTCTATGAATTTGTTTGATTGGATAAAGAAGAGGTGGTACAGATATACAATGGAATACTACTCAGCCGTATAAAAGAATGAAATCCTGGCATTTGCAACAACATGGATGAACCTCAAGGGCATTATGCTAAATGAAACAAGTCATGTGGAGAAAGACAAATACTGTATGCGTATGATCTCACTTATATGTGAGATATAAAACCAAAAGCAACATACTTTGATTTTTTTAAAAATACCCTTTGGTGAAATTTCACACTGATTTTCCATGGCAAAACACCACATCATTGACAGTTGGAATTACCAGATGTCTGTGTATTCTTAATTGTGGGCAGCCAGTGAGCTTAGCCTGGAAGGCTTTTAAAAACTGAAGCCCTCATTTCCATACCTTGATTTGAAAGAAGTGGGAGTTCCTGTATCTTTGAGAGTCTCCCGCTCTCTGCTTTCCAGTGGGCCTCACCCCAGGTACATGCCATCCAGACCCCTCCATGCCCTTCCTCGTTCACCTGCTTTGGCTTCCAGCTTTGGAGCTGTCTACAGCAAAGAAGATGAAAGTCTTCCTCTCTCTAGCACAGTCCCGCAAGGTGAGGTTCACCACCGAAGGCGTTGTTCTTCTGAGCTTTGGAGCATGGAAGAGGGAAGAGAGAGGCTGGAAGTTTGTGGTTCGAAGAAATTATCCCGGGGGCTTTCTCATCTTTGAATGAGTTAAAAGAAGAAAAAGAATTGCTGCGACTTGAAACGTTTCTAGTGGCATTTGGAACATTTCTTTGCTGGAGATTGATTTATTGCGCCCACTGTGAATGAGACGCAGGAGGGGCCACAGGAGACGGTTCTCAGCCTTGTGCTCTGTTCAGTGTGTGTAGCTTCTCTGTCTGCCCTGCCCCCAGCAATGAGCTGCTAAGGGCCTGCTGGGTCGGGGCCGGCCCTCCATCCTGGGGCTGCTGGAGGTCATGACCGGTTCCTCCCGGGCTTTCCCACGGATTTCTCACGAAGATGCCAATTCATATTCAGACTCTTGTTCTCAGGGATGGTGTTGGTGCGCTGCTCTCTGTCTGCAGAGGCTGTGGTTTTTTGGAGTTTGGGAGGTAATCAGCCCAGGTTAGCTTGCCAGCTTAGCCCTCACCGGTTATGCCACCTTGAGCCCACAAAGTGACAATACTAGAGACAGCCTTGCAAGGTGTTGTAGGCATCATGACAGTGAGTTGAGGCAGTGACTATGCAAAGTGTCTGCAGAATCATCTGAGGCTCAGAGAATATCAGTATGTCCCCCTTGTTAGAACTGGGGTTGCAGCCTCAAGATGTAGACAGCATGATCTTCCCAGGTATTAATAACTTTTTTTTTAAACTTTTTTTTTAATTGGGGAATTGGGGGAGAGGAACAGTGTTGGGGAACTGCGGAGGGGGACCAGCCAAGTTGTTGTTCTTCAATCTTTGTTGTGGAGGGCACCGGTTGCCATCTGGCTGCCCGTCAGCAGCTCGTGGCCTCTAAGCTCAAGGTGCTGTGTTACAATATTAGTTGTGGGTGGGCATAGCCACCATCCCATGCGGGAGTCGAACCAGCAGCCTTGTTGTTAATAGCGCACACTCTATCCACTGAGCCACCTGGGTGGCAGCTCAGCTCAAGGTGCCGGCCGAGCTCAGTCTTAGTTGCAGGCGGGTGTAACCGACCATCAAACAGGCAGTCTTGTTAGGAGCACGTGCTCTTACCAGCTGAGCCATCCTGCCACCTGTTGGCAGCTCAGTGGCAGCTCAGCTCAGGTGCAGTGTCACTGGCCCATGTGGGAATCAAACCAGCAGCCCTACTGCTCAGAGCTCATGCTCTTAAGCTAACTCTTACCCAACTAAGCCACTCGGCCGGCCCACTAATAACATTTTGAAACTATGACTTTTTTTTAAAGGTGGTGGCAGGGGGAATTCTGCTGTAATAAGATAGATGTGTTTCTATGAAACATTTATTATAGCAGCTGCAGACAGAAGTGCAGAGGTGGTGGCGGCTGAGCTGCAGGGTCAAGGAGCCACGGGGCCAAAGTGGGTGGCTGGCCATGGAGGATCCTGTTCAAGGTGGGGTGGCTCCCCAGGCACCTGTGGAACCGGGAAATCTAAGTTGAAGAGACTACTGACCAGCAGCCTCCCTAAGGAGTGAAAGGCTGGAAACATTGCCCGAGAAGATCTTATCAAGTTTGCCAAGAAGCCGGTGATGCTAACCCACAAGCTAAATCCAGATGTACAAGTATTAGATTGAAAATATTCATCTTGACTACAATGTCATTTAATCACGGTTAAAAATTAGTTTTTTAATAGTACTGTGGCTTGTTTTGTTTACCAGTGAATCCAGTAAAATCTTGGATAGTGTAGTGGAATCTCTTATCGTTTAACATTCTAACCATTTGCCTCTGACTTTATTATCTCACATCTCTAAATTGCAGTTACTTTTCAATTATTAAAATAAAGCCAGGGAGGAGGGTTTTTAAAAACAATTTGTTAAAGTTTGAATTAAGGACTTAAATGTAAGACCAGAAACCATAAAACTCCTAAAAGAAAACATAGGCGTAAACTCTGTGACATTGTTCATAGTAATATTTATTTGGAAATGTCTCCTCGGGCAAGGGGTACAAAAGAAAAAATAAACACATGCGACTACATAAAACTGGAAAGTTTTTGCACAGCAAAGGAAACCATCAAAACAAAAAGACAACTTACTGAATGGAAGAAGATATTTCAATGACACATCAGATAAAGGATTAATATCCAAAATATATAAGGAACTCATACAACTTAACACCAAAAAAACAAACACTCTAGTTAAAAAATGGGCAAAGGACCTGAATAGACATTTCCCCAAAGAGGACATACAATACACATGGCCATATGAAAAGATGCTCAACATCACTAATCATCAGAGAAATGCAAATTAAAACCACAATGATATACCACCTCTCACCTGTCAGAATGGCTATCATCAATAAATCAACAAACAAGTGTTAGTGAGAATGTGGAGAAAAGGGAACCCCCATGCACTTTTGGTGGGATTATAATTTGGTGCAGCCACTGTGGAAACCAGTATGGAAGTATCTCAAAATACTAAAAATAGAACTACCATAATGACCTAGCAATCCTACTTCTGGGTATTTATCTGAAGAAATCCAAAAAAATATAAGCACCCCAATGTTCATTGCAGCATTATTTACAATAGCCAAAGATATGGCAGCAACCTAAGTGTCTATCGATAGACAAATGTATAAAAAAGAAGTGGTACATATATTCAGTGGAACATTACTCGGCTATAAAAACAGAATGAAATCTTGCCATTTGTGACAACATGGATGGGCCTAGAGGGTATTGTATTAAGTGAAATAAGTCAGAGAAAGACAAACACCATATTATTTCACTTACATGGAATGTAAAAAAATAAATGAACAAACAAAACAGAAACAAACTCATGGATACAGAGAACAAATTGATAGTTGCCAAATGGGAGGGGGTTGGGGGCTGGTGAAAAAGGTGATGGGATTAAGAAGTACAAATTGGCAGTTACAAAATAGTCACGGAAGTGTATAAAGTACAGCATGGGAAATGTAGCAAATAATATTAATAACTATGTATAGTGTCAGGTGGGTACTAGACTTATTAGGGTGATTAATTTGTAATTTCTATAAATGCCTGATCATTTTGTTGTAAACTTAAAACTAATGTAATATGTTATGCCAACTATAATTGAAAAACTAAAAAATACAAAAGAATTATACAAAAGTTAGACAATAAAAACAAGGCTTTGAGAAAAAAAACATAGTTGGATTAAACATTTAAAATTATATATAACAGTAATAATCCTCATAGTAGTACTGACACAGTTCAGAAGGCATGTTCAATCCTGAAAATATCTGTGTGTGTGTGAAGGTGGTTTGGTGGTAGGAGGTGAAGGCAGAGCCAAGGCTGGTGAAGGTTGAGATGAGCACAAAATGCACAGTGATGAGTGAGAGCTTCCTGCCAAGCAATTGGTTCTGAGGCAGCATTTAGCCAGACTAAGCCAAGAGGAAGGCTGTGGGGCCAGTGGGCATTTGTACCATGTTCCTCCGTGGCTTGCTGTGTTCATTTGGGCTAGTCTACTTGGCATTTGATAGTTGTTCCTTATTTATACAAAATCTTCATGTGCAGGGAAAATTGTTTATGAAACCAAGGCGACGTCTATGTTGACATGACGTAGTTTCCTGATTACAATTAGAGTAATTTGCGTTCCAGACTGTAGGAAGCTCATTGCCCCAACTGATGAATAAGCCTGTTTCTCATCCTTCTAGATTGGAACCTGAAATATGAAAATGTTTCTTAATTGGGGTAAAAAAAACACATAACATTAAATTTACCACCTTAACCTTTTTTTAACACTAAGTATATTCACTGTTGTGAAACAGATTTCTAGAACATTTTCTTCTTGCAAAACTGAAACTCTACCCATTAAATAAATCCCCATTTTCCTCTTCCCCAGTCCCTGGTAACCACCATTCTACTTTCTGTTTTTATGAATTTGACTACTTTAGATACCTTATATAAATGGAATCATACAGTATTTGTCTTTTTGTGACTTAATATAATGTCCTCAAGGTTCATCCATGTTTTAGGATGTGACAGGATTTTATGAAACATGAAATCTTAAACACATCAAATCTTAAGCTGGGGTTTTTTTAACCCCCAAATTTATTTGAACAAGGTTAGCCTTGAGGGTAGTAGGAGGTGAGGTCCCTCCTGCTCTACTTATGTAATGAAATAAATATTGTTGAGTTTATCTCCTTGTCAATGTGATTTTCCTGTGTTTTCTTCTTCAAGTTTCTAGCGTAAATTAACTCTTAAAAGCAGATGTTCTGTGTTAAAAGACAATAATCAAAAGGGGAGCTGCATCAGACATTACAGGACAGTGTCATCTGTCAGGGTATATTTCTAATGCCTCAGCGTGTTTTAAACTCAGATTGGTATGATTCCATTCCAGAGAGCTCAGAAATATGCTCAGCAAGTCTTGCAAAGGGAATGTCGACCCAAGTTCGCCCAGAAGTCAATGGCACAGCTGTTTGAGCACAGGTACAGCATGGACTTACTGCCTTTTGTGAAGAAGGCTCCCAAAGTGAATGAGGCCGAGTACAAGTACGATCCTCCTTTTGGATTCCGGAAGTTCTCCAGCAAAGTCCAGACCCTCTTGGAACTGTTGCCTGAGCATGATTTTCCTGAACACTTGAAAGCAAAGAGCTGTAGGCGTTGTGTGGTTATCGGAAGCGGAGGAATACTCCACGGACTAGCCCTGGGCCATGCCCTGAACCAGTTCGATGTTGTGATAAGGTACATTGGTTTTCAACCAGCCTTTCTCCTCTAGAGTTAAGTGCACCGCTGTTAGTCAGTTTAAGACCAGGTACAGTGAGGGACACAGCACTGCATGTCCCTGCCATCAGGGGACTTCACTGTTTGAGAAGTTGAAACAAAAACATGAAATGATTAGATGCCCCAAACTGCTGTATTGACCTAAATTTGGCAAAACCTTTTCAGTGGAGGTGAGGTTTAGAAGGATGGATAGATTCAGATAAGCCAGCAGAGCAGGAAGACTGTGCCAGGCAGGGCTAAGAGGAGGATGGGGGGAGATTGAGTCAGTGGGGTGCCTGGCCTCTGGGAGGTGAGCCCTGGAAGGCCGCACTGGCTGGGGTGCAGGAAGCACATAGGGGACTTTGAATGCCACACAACAGGACATCCATAAGGCAATCAGCCTAGATTCTTCTTGGCTTATAATAGCTAGCTAAGAATTGTTTTTCTGATTATAAGTGAAATATGTTCATTCTTGAAGATGAAAAAAATACAGAAAATATAAAGAAGAAAATACCACTCTCATAGCACAAATAACCAACTACTATTAATTTGCTTTATTTTTTCCATTTTAGTTCTGTACACATACTAATGAATGCATTTACATTCTTATGAAGTTTTTTGCTTGTTTCACTTAACATGAGGAACAATTTCTGAGGTCATTAAATATTCTATGGGAAACTAACTTCAAGTATTTAATATTCCTTTAAATGAGTGTATCATACATAAGTTATGTAGCCACTCCTATTGCTGGACGTTTAGAATATTTCCAGTTTCTTTGTTATTGTGAAAATGCTTTGCATATTCTCATACATATATCTTTATGTACATCTCTGATTATTTCCTT